TTGGATTTGAACCTATGAAATGACTTCAAACAAGCCCCTGTAGGGTTGCTGCTTTGAAAGTATAAAATGAATTCAAACAAGCCCCTGTAGGGTTGTATCACCATTGAAACACCAACATGTCAACCCTACACTGCAGGTGTAAACGTGTAATTGTCCAATGATATCATACCTTTAAACTTAATTAAAGTCAACTTACCATAATGTTCATTCAGTCATTTGATTGTCATACTAACATTGATAGCAATACTCATCAGTGCTACAAACCCATTTTATACCTGCAGTGTAGGGTTGACATGTTGGTGTTTCAATGGTAATACAACCCTACAGGGGCTTGTTTGAATTCATTTTATACTTTCAAAGCAGCAACCCTACAGGGGCTTGTTTGAAGTCATTTCATAGGTTCAAATCCAACAGAGGCTCAACCCTACACTAAATAATTTTTTAAATTTTTTTGTTCTAGTAGTATTTTATCATTGTCCTTGCATGATTAAATATTGCTGTTTTTATAGGTATTTTGACTAATTTTTATTAAATGAAGAAAATGATATATTCACAATGAAAAATAGAACTATCAAAGCACTTAGTATGCATCGTAGAGATCAAGATGATAAAATTTCTTGCTAATTCTTTTTTAAGGGCTTATCATTCCATTGTATAATCATTTTCCAGTATTATAACTGAATAAGTTTCCTTTGATTTGTACCCATACTTTATAAATTTGATATTTATTTTACAAAATATTTCTTACGCAAAAATGTACAAACAATGAACAATCATAAAATACTTCACAGACTCAGCAAGTTGAGCAAACTTAATTTCAGTAAAATTATAAAATAAGTGATCTTGTAGCTAATTTAGCAGTTCAGTAAAGAGTGAAGTCATCCAAATGAAAGCTGTCATTGTCTGATGCAGTGTGATGATCATGTGGCTGGAAATTCTGTTCTGATTTAGCCCTGTCATACAAAGGCTCAAAATCTTCTGATTTGCTGATAAAGTTCTGATCTATCACATCTGCATAACTGATACTATCACTCTCGGCCTCAACTTCACTGACACTCTCAGAGTCTTGCTCTTCAAATATTGGATTCATAACAACATTACGATTAGGAAGCCTACAATATCATAATATATAATAGCAGTATATATTCTATCTCATTAACCTTTCATTTTCCCTACGAGACTTAGGAACAAACAGTGGGTTACTAATCACTATAGCTGATGGGTTAATGCCCAAAGGTGTTGTGTTTGTCACTGTATGTTTTGAAGGTTTCTTCTTTTTTCGATAAATTATGATAGTTGAAACAATTCCAATAAACAGAATTATAGCTACAATAAAGCTAATAGATACTTTAGTAACTGGTATAGCACTTACATAGTCCAACTGCTACAAAACTAACTATAAATATTATTACAGCAACATCATTATCTGAATCATCCTATATAAATAAAATTGATTTTTACAGTACAGTCAAACTGTAAAAGTTTCCTTACTATTTCTGGCTCTTCAGGAAGGTAGCCTGTATTTATAAATAATAATTTGTATAATTATTTAATAGCATCACATACTTTTTGAAGGCACCAATAAAAAGGAAGACATCGTTGGTGATGAAGGCATTGAGCTTATTTCTGAAATGCAATTTGTAATGTTGGCAGCATCATTCTCATCACACATAGTACAAAACACTGAGCCTTTGCTTAGTGTGTAAGTGAAAGGAGGACAAGGCAAGCAGGGAACAAGTCCAGTCAAAGAATAGTTACCAGGAGGACACAACTCTATTTAAAAATTATTGCACTAACAGAATTTAGTAATTGTAATTACAATTGTGTTTACTATTAGGATCCTTAGATCAAATTTACATCATTACAACAAATTTGTAAAGGTAATTGGGTCATTAGCTAAATTCCATAAAAAATTCACTAGGAAAACATTACCATTTTATAATTTTTTCTGAAACATATTATATATGTAAAAAAATTTAGCTCATTTTAATTAAAATTGGATTCTTTGCAAATTTTTTAAGTTGCTCTAAAATAGGGTCAAAAACCCCATATATAGTACAGTGTCATCAGCCAAATTTCATCAAAAATCACTAGAAGAGAATTTACCAATTTTATAATTTTTTCTGATGCGTATACATGTACTTATGTTGTGTAGAAAATTTTAGCTCATTCTAATCAAAATTGGATTTTTTTACAAATTTTTTAAGTTGCTCCAAAATTGGGTCAAAAACCCTGTACTATAGTACAGTGTCATCGGCCAAATTTCATCAAAAATTACTAGAAGAGAATTTACCAATTTTATAATTTTTTCTGATGCGTATACATGTACTTATGTTGTGTAGAAAATTTTAGCTCATTCTAATTAAAATTGGATTTTTTTACAAATTTTTTAAGTTGCTCCAAAATTGGGTCAAAAACCCTGTACTAAAGACTGCAAAAGTTATGGCAGCCATTTTTTTGGGGGGTGAATCCTACTTAGTAACACTACTGCGTTACTAATAGTACAACAAATTCCATTAAAATCACTAGAAGAGAATTTATAATTTTATCTGATGTGTATCCATGTACTTATGTTGTGTATAAAATTTTAGCTCAGACATTCTGATTAAAATTGAATTTTTAAATAATTTTTAAAGTTGCTCCAAAATTGAGTCAAAAACGCTGTACTATAGTACAGGGTCATTGACCAAATTCAATCAAATGTCACTAAGACCATTTTATAATTTTTTAATGCGGATACATGTACTTATGTTGTGTAGAAAATTTTAACTCATTCTAATCAAAATTGAATTTTTTTACAAATTTTTAACCTTGCTCCAAAATTCAGCCAAAGACCCTATTATAGTACAGGGTCATCAACCAAAAATTACTAAGAGAGAATTTACCATTTTAATAAATTTTGGATATGTATACATGTACTTACCGTATTTCCTCGTGGAAACGCCTACTCCCTATAAACGCCCATGCCTGTATAAACGCCTAGAGACAGCATATAACTTTGACAATAAACGCCCATGCTTGTTTAGACGCCCATTCTTGATTAAAAGCCTATACCACACCCACCTACCCCATCCACGTGGTACGTGTACCTTACGTAGTTTACATTCTACAATGGCAGCTGCAGCTGAGAAGGCTAAGGAAACTCAGAAGTTTGATGTCAGTTTTAAACTACGCATTGTGTCTATTGAAACATGGTGGTAAGGATTATTTTTTGGCTATAAACGCCCACCTCGTATAAACGCCTACTTCATTTAAACGCCTGGCAAATGGGTCTCTATAAGAAATAAACGCCTAGGCGTTTCCACGAGGAAATACGGTATGTTGTGTAGAAAATTTTAGCCTGTTCCGATCAAAATTAGATATTTAAAAAATTTTAAAGTTGCTCAAAAATCAGGTCATCAGCCAAATTTGATCAAAAATCACTCCGACATAATTTACAATTTACCGCTTTATATTTTTTCTGATAAACATGTGTTCTGTAGAAATTTTTAACTCATTCCAATCAAAATTGGATTCAAAAAAAATTTTTTAAGTTGCTTAGCAATTGCCCCAGGATTTGGCATGACCATGTACTATTACGAAAAATGACTCAAAAAGAATTCTCAATTTTTTGATCTAATACATCTTTTATGTTGCATGCATGTTCTTGAGTGTTAT